CTAAAAGTTTGTGCCAAATCTGATTTTTTTTTTAGAACATATCCTCAAGTCAAAAGAATAGTGAATTATCAATTAATTTATTCTTCCATTGCCTTTATTGCATAAATTGTTTACCAACCATAATATTATGCATCGATTGCAAATGTAAATATTTCGATTATCTATTTGTCGTGTGAGATTCTAAGAATCTTCATAGGCATTTAAAATGGTTTCATACCGTAAAAATCAATAAGTTTTATAGGTATGAGGATCAATCTTGTAGGTATTTGTATGGGTTTCGAAGGCCCATTATTAAAATTAATTCTTTTATAATAAATATTTAAGCCTCACGTGAGATTTCAAAAATTTGTAGAGAATAAATTAATTACCTTTTCGTATAGGATAATAAATCCTCACAGATATCGTGATTCACAATTTGTATGGTAAATACATAAACGAATTTTTGTAAATAAAATAATAAACATTGTTTTATAATATTAATTAACTAAATTAATAAATTTAAATTATAATTGTATTGTTTAATTAGATCTTTTGGTCACATGAGATTTTTTGAAACTTATAAACCTTTAAGATAATCGTACTACCGTGTGAGTCAATAAGGTTTCACAGGTATAACGATTAATATTCTATATTTAAAAATATGCGTTATATAATTACATATTAAATATATTTAAAGTAATATTATTTAATCCTTTATTGTGAGAGACTTTAAATCTTTGCAGATATTTAGGATAATCATATTGTCGTATAAGCTAATAAGGCTTTGCAGGTATGATAATTAAAATTCTTTAAAAACATGTACGTACATGCTTAAATAAATTATTACTAACACTTAAAATATAAATAAATTAAGTTGTTAAATTCTTTTATCGTGTGAAATTTTGAAATCTCCACAGATATTAGAACAGCTGCATTATCGTATGAATTAATAAGGCTCTGCAGGTATAGCAGTTAAAATTCCCAATCACAAAACATAAAAGAAAAATAATTTTAAACTCTTTTCTTTCTATATTCCAAAAATTAAAAAATTGAGAAAATAGTTAAAATTAAATCACTTTTTTCAATTTAAAACACACATATCAAAATTTTAGAAATTATTTTATTTGCAAAATGGTGAATTATTTCTAATTAATTTCTCTTCAAAAAATATTTTCTCCAGCAATTTTTAAACCCGAACTACGTGGACTTTGATCCTCATCACAAGGTACGTAGGCCTCATAGTCAAATTCTGAGTCTATTCCTCTCTTGTAAATAAATAAATGTTTCTCACTTAATTTTTATCATTTTTATATAAAACACGTGAATATAAAAGGAATAATTAAAATAATTTTAAAATCATATTAGTATAGCACAATAAATTTTAGGTAACCGTTCTTATAAATGGATGTTGTGGGGTGCCTAACACTTTCCCCACATTCAATCGACTCCCGAACCTATTTTCTATTTTCGTAAACTATCCTTATTCTCCTTTAAATGATTTCTCAAGATTTACCTCAAAATCTTGGTAGCGACTATTCGTTCCATCCGGTTTTTACCCTCAAGGCTGAAATCTCCGCTCGCACGCCATCCGTGCTGCATTTTTTGAGTGCGACAATATCTTTTATATATTTTACACATAGCATATCGATATAATACGGCTTTGGTAAAATACACACACATATATATACATGTCGACATTGTATGTCAGAATTGTTATTGAGAAAAAGGGGGAAGGAAAAGATTAAAGATTAAAAACTAAAGAGTAAAGAGTGCTATTATTTTGTTTTTCTTTTAAGGTCCAAGATAAAGAGCGCTTTTAAATAGTATGAAACAGAAAGGATAAAAAAACAGTTCACCAAAGAAGAGAGAAGAAAGTAGAAAAAAGACAGCTCATCAGAAGAAAGTTTTTTCATCGGTAATCGCCACGGTTTATTTCTCTACCTGCACCAAATCAAATTTGGAAGTGCACGTTGAACCACGACAAAACACCCCCCCCCCCAACCAAAAAAAAAAAAAAAAAAAACGGAAGTGCACAATCCATATAAATCAACGGAAGTACTCATTACGCCTTCTAGGAAAAAGTGTTCTTAACAAACAAGAATTTAGAGCTCTTAATCTCTTATAATTTGCAATTTCTTATAATAATAACAATAATATATTCCCACCAAAAAATAATGCTCATGCTACTAAATACTAAAATTTGTTTTTGATCCAAATAAAATACGCAAAAAAAAAAATACTGACCTATTAGCTAATTTTTAAAACTCAGTGAACTTAATAATGATGGTTGAAGAAAATGCATGCATTTTTCCGCGTAAAAAACAGTGCATTGAATGACTGCTAATTATTGAGATTTGAGACACTGCGAGGATTTTGTCAACATCCAAAACATTCATGGTTACAATATTATCATTGGTACCTTGCTGTGGCAATTAATTTGTTTCCATAAATCCCACCAATTGGAGGATCCCTTCTCATGATGACATATAACGCTGGTCTGAATCTGCACAAGCGGCATTTCCAACCAATGTACCAATTTAATTATAAAATCCACCGCCCTCTTGCAAGTTCAAACACACAGACAATTTGCTTTCATTTTTGAGATGCAATAATGGCCATGCCCCTCGTCATCTCTTCCAGCTCCAACAACCAGAAGCAACTCGGCTTCACTATTTCCTCCAACAACTACAGAAACCATGGAGGACGTGAGACTGTCATGAACAATAATAGGGTCTCTTCCAATTACTCCAACCAGCAAGAGCCTGGCTTTACGATTGCCACCAACGTTAACGCCCACAGAAACATGTTCCTTTCTCTTGTGCCTCACTTTAATGGAGGTGATCAACAAGTCATGAACAATAGGGCTTCTTTCAGTCACTCCAACCAGTCAAACGGAAGCCTCTCTCTCGTGCCTAGCTTCAATGGAGGTGATCAACAAGTCATCAATGGGGTCACTTCCAATCACTCCAATGGTATAAACAGAAGTCTCTCTCTGGTTCCAAGCTTCAATGATTGTGAAAGAGTCATGAACAATGAAATCTCTTCCAATTATTCTTCTAACCAACAGGAGCTTGGCTTTTCTGTTTCAAGCAGCAATCATAGACACAGAACCCTCTCTCTTGTTCCAAGCTTCAATGACTATGAAACAGTCATGAATGCTGGGGTCTCTTCCAACTATTGTAACCAGCAAAAGCTTGGCTTTTCTGTTTCAAGCAGCAACCATATAAACAGAAGAATCCCTCTCGTTCCGAACTTCAATCACCATGACCCATTCATGAATAATGGGATGTCTCCCAATTATTCTGACAGGTTAGAGCTTGGCTTTCCTGCTTCAAGCAGAAACCATCAAAACAGAAGCCTTTCTCTTGTGCCAAGCTTCAAAATTAGAGGTGAACCATTGAATATGATAGAGAGGAGGAGAAAATTTGCGAGAAATTACCAGTTTTCTCATTCAGCAAGGCTTCTGGCCGCGCGAGAGATTCTAAGAGGTCGTCTTATATCTGTTTTCTCCACCGGACGCCGTATGCTCACCAGCCAGGAAGAAGCCATCTACACGAGATCAGGCCCTGGTTTCAGTTGTCAGATTCATTCTCAAATTAATCTTAATAACTCGCGGCAACGTGGAGCGAGACTCACCATAACAGAGCTTGATGAAGAAGCATGCTCACATGATAATCAAAGCAGATGCAATTATAGTGGAGCTCTTGCTCTTGCTCTTGCTCCTACTCCTGTGAGTGTTTATTATCCTTCTAGAACAAATAATGAGAATGAATATGATAATGATGTTGACAAGGGTGATGGTATAACTCATAGTCTTCCTTGTAAGAAATATGGGCCATACACGTGCCCGAGGTGTTTTGGAAAGTTTTCAACCTCACAGAAATTTGCAGCTCACGTGAGCTCTCATTACAAATATGAAACTAAAGCTCAGAGGGGGAGGAGGCTTATGGCAAAAATCAGAAAAAGAAATCTCCGCCTTCATCACTCGAGGGAGGGAATAACACTTCTTCCTACAAAAGCATTTGCTCAGCCCCAGCCTGTGAACATGACCGAGGCAGAAGCTAAACGTGATGGAGTATTATCTAAAGTCCTAATCAAGGAAGAACCTGCCGATTTTTAAGTCAAGTATATGTGCGCCATGGATTGGATCTATTAAGTATTTACTGTTTTTCTTGTTTTGCATTAGGGTCTACTGCAGTGTCTGTTTCGTTTGGTTGGCGGATGTTTACTGCTTTTATGAACTTCATCCATAATCTTCTCAAACTGTGTTCTAAACACTGTAAATTTGTCTCTTATTTCATGATAAATTAGAAGCTGAAAAGCGAAGTAAAAAAAGTACAACAACATGGACAAGGACAACTACGTAAATGGTATTTTGTCCCCAAAGTGGATTATATTGTTTATAAAATCGCCAACATTATCAAACAGTAACACAGTTTTTCTAAATCCTATGATGAAAACACAAGAAGCCTGAAATATTGCCAATCTTAATTGTCAAGACCTTGTCAATCTGTCAATTGTTAACCTGGAACGTGATCAAATGTACAGCATGACCCAAGGCCTGGCGTATGCAAGGACGCCGAAATATAATTTGTCTAAGAAGTTCTCCGTCAATGAAAAATACAACCCAGCCTTAGAAAAACTCTTCGGGTATAGTCAATGGCCCAAAACCTAGGGTCTGATTTTTCCCCAATGGTTTATTCGTCTGATTTATACAAATAACCAGCGTCTATGAAACAACTCTGTAGGCAGACAGGGATCTACAATGTTGAGAATACCAGGGGGTTATCACTTTTCAGAGGTAGCATGCATTTACATTTTCCAACAATGTTACAAATCCACGCCAGATAAAATTGCATGCAGCTGCTTTGGAGTCCATGTCACATCAAGTAGTTTCTGAAGAGGACCATCAATATCTTCTGCCATTGTCATCAAAAGTGTTCTGCATTCTGAAATAAACAAGTCATATCATATTTTAACAAAAACAGAATAAAACCCGCATCTATTCATCATCATGTTAAATCTTTATTCCAGACTATGTTCCAATAATAGCTATATTATGAATTAAACTGAAGGGAAAGGTGTTAAACCTGATATTTTGCTAAATTAAGCAAGCACATAGAAGCAAGAGCCTTGAGTTCAAGTTCCCCATTTTCCAGGACTTCTTTTATCTCAGAGATGACGGCTAAGGAAGCAGCAAGATGTAATCCAGCATTACATTGCATAAAAAGCGAGGAGCTCAACCAAGCAGCAGTTATTAAACACACGCTGACCAAATCTGGGTGTTCAAATATTTAGAAATAGAATTCAAAAATGGACTCTCTCCATCACATTGGCTCTAACAAGTTCACCAACCACTCTTTGACCTTTTCTTCTTCCCTTTCCCATAATTTAGTTAGAATATCAGGCAGGTGAGATCAAGTAACTTGTGTAAGAAAAAACAGCTACATGATAACATCAAAGAATTGTTCTGGATTTGCTTCACATTGATAATTCTAGTAGGAGTCTCGATTTGCTATTGCCAGATGTATGGTATCATTCATCCATAATAATTGAAAGGGTTCGTGCTGGAAGTGATAACTGAACTTCCATACGGAAGAGACTAAAGAATAAGGACATAAAATTATAGTTCATCAGTACATTAATTAAAAAAAAAAAAAAACTTGCTCCCAAATTCCAGACTTTCCAAAATTGCTCTCTAGTTTAACCATGTTACAGGAAAAAACAAATAATTAGGTTGTACAATTGGAATATTAGCAGCAGTTATCCGCATTTGATGAAAAATTCAAGGAAGCATTATGTTTCATCAATCTTGATACAATACAGAGAAGACCATAAGAGATGACGAAGTAATGTAAGAGAGGAAACTCACAAACGAAATGGATCCATCCCATGATAAATTTCTTCCTCATGATCAGAAGTGTCAACTTCTGAGCTATTGATTATATATCCCACTTCTTTTAAAATGCTACTCCTGGTCAGTACCTTGCCAGTGGAAGAAAAATGCCCGGCCAAGAAAAGAAGAGCTCTACAACAGTTTTCTCGGACTTTCTCCTCATTTAAGCTGGCATGAAGAGCCATTGAAATGGAATTCACAGCCTGCTCTCTGTATGAGCCATAATTTTGAGACTCGGCCTGAAGTGAAATATTACCATTCCCAAAAAAATGCATAACAAATGCTTTGAGTGAGTGAGATGACGAAACCATGTTTGAAAAAAAAAAATCAAGACTATTGGAGCGTACCAGTAGATCAAAGTGCAACAAAAGGACAGCAATTAGAGGCATGTGATGTGGTGGAGAATTCTTGAGGTAAATGAGCAGAACATGCATTGTAGTAGATATATCCTCACCCTCCAAGTGACTCAAGAATGAAGTAGCATCCTTTCTTCTGCAAATTAAATAAGTCAACCACTCAACAATTAAGAAGAGGGCTAGACAATTATCATTCTTAAAAGTACAATTACGCAGGGCATCATATCACAATAAATATAGTTCAAGTCACTCCCTTGTATAGCTGGAAGTCCAAAGATGGAGAAGTTTATTGCTAAGGGAGTCATAACAAAATAAATCAAGTCATTTAAACTCAAAGCAAAACTTACCTCCTAAGAAAACAAATGATGCATTACAAAGGTAATGTTAATATCTCGAAGAGAAAGACTACAATCCATGTTTTTCTAGGTCAAATACGTGTTATTTAACCAGCAGAGCATGAAAAGGTAAAATAATGCTAATATGAGTATAAACCCAGCTATAAAGAAAAATTCCAATTCAAAGCATCAGATAGACTGAAGAAAACAAGGAGATAATAAAATTATTTTGAAATGGTAATTATGAAAAGTAGAAGACAACATGTACAACATGTAGATATTGGTGAATACCAAGCTTCCAAACCAGAGAACTTTACCAACTTTTAGCTGTATGTTGTAATTTATTGAAAAACTAAACACCAAAAAATGCGACCACATTTCTTCTTCCATGTTATTATCCAAGTCATTTTTGTCTGCTTTTACAATACTCTAGCTATATAAGAACTGCTCCTGGTTAACCGTTATATCCTTTATTTTTACTTTTAAACAATAGGCCAAGAATTGCTTGCCATCACCAGTAGCACGTAATGAGGGCCGGTTCAACGTGATTACTATCTGTAAAAAAATAATGTGACCAATAAGCTGCAATAAATCAGAAAACAACACAGAAGCAATGGCAACATCAAATACAATCTTGACAACGCTCACCTTTTTAATGCTAAAAGTTTGGTAAGTGATAATATTGCGTTAGTTCTTGGTGTAACCTCCTTGTGGTGAATAAGATCAAGAAGAAATCTTCTATCAGTATCTCTTGCTATCTGATATATGCAACAAGAGTCTGCTCCAACAAAATTTAGCAAGAGTGCCCCCACATGTGTTTTCTCTTCCAAATTTCCCAATTCAAACCTCCTAAGCAGAAATTCTAAAGCCCCAAAGGATATGAGATGCTTCGCATAAGTTACTTTGTCCTCTTTGTTTAGCACGGTGAACAGACTCTCTAATTTGAAAGTAATAATCTCATCCCTATCTTTTTGCTTTGTCTCTCTTGAATGTTTTGAGATAGGAGAAGCGGAATCCAAGAGCTCATTTAATGGTTCTGACTTCCAATTATGAGTCAGTCGCTTCAAGACAATGTTTGCTAGTGGCGTAGCTACAAAAGCTAAAGTAACTCTGTTACAGGACATGTTCTGTGTCCCTTTCGGAACCATGACTTGAGGGCTTCACGTTCAAAGGTTTGTCCAGTCTCTATGGTGACTGGTTCCTCCAATAATTTTCCAGTAAGAGGGCAAAGAAATTCTTGTGGAATGGTTGGAAAAGATAATCCTATATAAAAATGTATGTAGTCCAATTACCTCAATCATGAGAAATCCTAAAACAAAATACGCTATCTAAAGGAAGTTTAATTAGAAAAAGACATATTTTTCTCACCTTCAAGAGAAGAGCTTCTCTTGATTGGCTGCATTTAAAAGATTATGGATCAGAAAAGGTCATCAGAAATAAATAACAGAATGCACCATCAATCATTGTTTAATAGACAAAATTACATTAGATATGGTTACCTTTCCAAAACTAAATTATTTTTCTTCAATGTCTAGAAAGTGGTTTTTTATATTAGTTTGTAAGGGTATAAAAGAGTGCAAATGGCATCACAATGATATCTTTCTCTCTTTTGTTCTTCATCTGTCTCAGAGATTCCTTTCTGCTTCAAAGATGTTATATGACAACCTTAAGTTATGTGAGATGTAAAGCAAAAGAAGACATGAAAACTTATCAATATGACTTCGAGAATGATGTTATTGTTTTCAAAAACAAGTGAGATTTCCAATAAGCAATTCACCAAGATCAATTCCTCAATCTGCAACAGTCCCAATTTACAAGTCCACAATTTTTTTTTTTTTCAAAACCATTGTAAAGATGTAGAGCCATGAGAATAAAGCTGATTATTCCAAGTGGATGACCAGATAGACTGTTTCATATACAAATTTATATAAAACCTGCTGTCATTACCAAATGTAATTGAGAGAGAGCGAGGAGAATGAAATGATGGAGTACATAATACAGAAGGGATTTGAACTAATTAAAACACCTAATGCCTCTGCTAAGATTTCAATCATTCCGCATTACCACAATTCATATATTCCAAATCTATTACAATTCTATAAACTGCTAGTAACAAAACATAGCATTCTGGCTACAGGAAAAAACTTTTAACGCAATTTTCAAACGAGATAGATCATTTGTTTTCTGTTTTATATGTTTGTTGTTGTAGGTAAACGGTCCAACCTAATCATTGAAAGAGAAAACAGCTATAGCAATACCGCCCCAAGCACGAGACTTTTTTTTTCTGTTTTTTTTTTTTTTTGGGTTTAAGATAGCAAACAACTTACAGGATGCAATGAAACAACTGGCACATTTTTAGTGGAGTCTTCTTTGACATCTTGATCAGTGAATTTCACTCTTTCAAATACATGTGTAGATGTTTGCTCAATAGCAGCTGAACCATAACAGCCTCTGATGCAAGTATCTATGTCATTCCCCTCCTCACTATCTTCATGGTCATTAATTCCCAGTTTATTCAAGCTACCAAAGACAGAATGATAGAGTCTTTTGCTGACTGTTGGTTGAGGTGAGAATGAATCAATGGGACTAGAAAGC